CACCTTAACAATGTAAAGTACTCCTTCAGCATTTTGAGCTAGCCATCTAGCATCTTGAATCTTTTTTTCACTTCTGAAACTGTGATATACCTATCCATATATCAGTTTAAGTAGAGAATGTTTAATATATTCTATTTCTTTGAAAATTATTTGCAAGGATATAAATTTATTAGCTTACAAAACATAAAAAAATACATAAAATGTTTGAAATTGGGCAGAAACAGATTATTCTGCCATATTTTCTGTTTGGAAACACCTGATATACCTGCGTTCATTCCTCTCCATTCTTTCAAGAGGACCTGCTGCACAGACACTAGCTATCATATCTTAACCAATGATGAAAGTCAATGAATCTACAGCTTATGCATCTTCTTCATCATATTATTCTAATGAGTTAATCTGGTATTAGCATGGTTAAAATGTGGCAACAATTTTAAGAAGCAAGTACAAAAACCCTGTTCCAGCTCAAGCTTCTAAAATAAACCTCTGTCTTGTAGTCAAGATTTTTTTCAGGTGACTATTCTTGTAGATACAGATTTCTCATTGAAGGCATGAGAAGAAAATGACACAAAAAGAGAAATGGCTACAATGTGCAAGTTTTCCCGTTACAATTTATCTTTCAAAATACAGAAACATCTGCATACTTTTCTTCCCAAATAAGAATTCAGCCTTTTAAAAGTTAATATGCAAGCATAATAATTTCTCCCTCTCTGCTCTTTTAGTAAATGTCCCACCCACACAAGCAGCAACAGTTTTCCTTTCATTATCCGTGTCAAAATTGCCCATTTTTTCTAGCCAATATCCAATAGTTTTCAATCTGGACATACTGTCCTAATCCTTTTCAGGGCACATCCCATTCAGTTCTCTGTATGCAGAGACATTCCTTATTTTTTCAAGAAGCATTTTAATACTGTACATAAATACAGGTTTATATAAAACACTAGTATTCAAGTACATAAAGCGAGCAGAATCCTTTCTTCTTATCCTCTTCACTAGGCTTAAATTATTTTCCTTGACTTGGATTGTTACATTTTTCTCACTGCTTTATCTGCTTCTTTCTTTATACAGTTAGAAGTTGGCTGGTAGAACAGATTCTTCTTTCAGTTTCTCACGAAAGACAGCATGCCTCAACTGCATGTAGTACAACATTTCCTGATGGACCCTTTAAAAAAAATACACTTCAGCTGTTTTATTAAATGAGTCATCCAAATGCTGGGGGATACTATATAGTAACACAAACTGTGAAAGCTCAACTGGGAAAGAAGCAAATGCTACCTACAATGCAATTCTACGTCCTGAAATAAAGATGGCATAAAAGCAAAATGTACGGCTGCATGTGCTTAGCTCCATCATATGTGAAGTTTGAAAAGAAAATGGTCTTTTCTTTTTGCAGTGTTAATGGTTCATGATTTAAAAATGTGTGCACACACACAAACACATACACGCATTTGTAATACTACCTGCCTCCAAGGAACTTCCCTATCATAATTTCAGAAAAATAAGTATCAGTGTCTACAAAACTCTCTTACTAACTGAACACTGTTGAAATACTAGTTTTGGTTTTAAAAGGGATTTACATGATTTTATCAATTCTTTCTAATAAAGTTGTCTAAAAAAAAAAATTAGGATGGCAATACTCAAAAAATTGTATGGAATTCAATACATACTTGATAAAATTCTTATCAACTTTGAATTTAAAAGAAAAAAAAATATACCACTACAAACCTATCTTCCTGTACTATAAGTCTGGTTTCCATACAGAACAAAATACAACAGCACACCTGGAATCTCACAGATTCATTCTGTATAAATACAAACAATAATTTTGTCAGAGCTGGCATAAAAAGCAACCTTGTTTCAAGTATGCTACTACATGCAACCAAAGTATTTGCTCAAACCCTAATCTAAAAAAGTATTTCAATTATTCTACTAATATGTATTTTTCTTTATCCAACAACAAACCATGATGTTAAGTAAACCCTGAATGCCCAGAGGGCTTAAGGGACATTTTTTTCCCCTCTGGAAAGAAAACACAAAATAGCTAACAAAAATAAAACTAGACTGAATGATATGGAGACTGATTTCAAAATATTTAGGTATTTAATTATACCTGCCTAATAAGATTTATTTCTATAATTTACTACTTCCCATTGATTTCTACTTGCTTAGGAATCCAAATATGTGTAAGTATCCCACACCTGTTTTATAAAGAATATAAAGCATGAGAAATATAGTCATGAAAAGGGTTTATGTATTTCCTGAATTACCTATGATGAAGTATAATATTTTCAACTGAATACATTTAAAACAGCTCTAATAAAATGGAATTCCTTCATTCTTCCAACTGCCAAATGATGCATAGTACGTAAGAGCAAAACCTTTTAAAATTAACATGAATTTTGCCTCTGATTTAATGAGATATGTTTTAAATATCTGGCCATGCTTTTAGCTATATATAAGCATATCCATATCTAGAAGTCTTGTGTCTACTGTGTATCTAACAGGAACTCCAGAGAGATCTTTTCTGCTTACTGATCAATCAAAAAGACAAGAGCACGATACCTCACTAGATAAACACCTTTGCTGCTCAAGTTCAAATCGAAGCAACACTGATATTGGCTTTTAACTTCACAGTAAAGGATTTTATCTTTCTTTTGTAAAGTGTATTAGTTTAGTCAGTATATTGCTATGAGTCAATATTTCCAACCTCTGACATTTGAGTCAATATAATAGTATTTTACATTTTTTATTGTCTCAAAACACTATTGTTCTTCCCTTTCACAATTACAATTTCAGTTTTATATGTATCATTTGGGAACTGCTTTTGACAGAAAACCTTTAACTAGGCTTATATGAACTGAAAGTTTATGTTCAGCAGTACTACCATTACTACACAGCCAACTACAGTTTCCACAGTGGAAATGTCTCCTTACTCTTACTGAAACATAATTCTTTTTGTTGTTGTTGCTTAGTTTTTAGGTTCTTGATGGGGTTTTCTGAATATAACTTCAAATAATGTCAAATAATGGTATCTTAAGCTGTAAAGCATCAAGTCACAAAAAAAATTTACATCAGGTGCATATATTAGATGCCTTTGCATCTAACAGGTAAGTTTTAAGCATATCCAATGGGCAATATTAATTTATAATTTTGGTTTGCCCTTTTTTTTGCTTAAGTTAATTATCTTTGTAGAAGTAAATGAGATTCACATTGTTCTACTACCACACAATTTGTTTAATGATAGACTTACTACTTTTTTAAATAGAATTATCTTTCTTACTCTAAAATAAAATGCTGACACCATCCAAAAGATTACAGTAGTGAGTAAAGGGGAAAATTCATAATCAGTTAGGATGTACTATGGGTAATTAGGTTAATAATTAGCAACCCATAGTGAATATTGCCTTGTGACAGCACAAGATCACTGTGTAGCAAACACCAGTGGCAGATACAAGTGGATCTTAAGTGCTTGCAGGAATGGGAGCTTCTCCCATAAAACGTTTGTGAGTCTTAAGCAGAGGCCCACAAAGGCTACAATAAAATCTGGTTTCACACAATTTTTGAGTGGCTTTTCACCTCCTATCCAGTCTTTAGAATGCTGCTCTGTTCAACTAAGAGGGACGTCACATCAGAATTCAGGGCAGAACTGTACCAATACTGAGTCAACTATAGGACTTTTCTTTAGAGTGGGAGAAAACAAGATGATAAAGCAAGCCTCCAGGTTGAACCAGATACCATAGTGTACTAGTGCTTTATTGTTACTGTGATGGTCTAATTTTAAAAATGCTGCACATTAATTCTTCATAGCAAGAACTTACAAGTCCAACAACAGAGGCTTTTTCTCCTATACTCCCTAAAAAGTGTTGCCAAACAAGAACACTTTTGAAAACCATAGCCATGTTCATTTCAGTAAAAAGTTACCTCTCTACAACCATATTTCAACCTTTTCCTCTTCTGGAATATTTTCTGAGTACAGTGGCTATCCTGACATTATTTTACCTAGCTCCTCCAGCGGTACTATAGCAAGCATAATGCAGAAAAGCTATACACCCTTTCTAGTGAAACCAGTCTACTCTCCTGGACAAAGCAGCCGAACTTTTTCTTGCGGTTGTAAAATTACTAGCCAATCAAGATTCTGCTGCAGCTGCCAGGTACGCATTAATTTCTGCCTTAGGTGCTCCAAAGCTAACCGCTTGCGCGCCCATCAGTGGGGCTGCAGAAGTGTTCCTTCCTGAAAAGCCATTGATCTGGCTCGCGGTACCCGAGCGTAAGGGTCAGAGGGAGGGAAAGAGAAAGAAACCTGGAGAGCTTTCTGGCGGGGCCAGGACGCTCCCGGCCCAATTCCAGACGCCCCTCTCCCGCCACCTCCACCCCACACACCCGAGGGAGCCCCTCGGCCCGCTGGGCTGCTCTCGCCTACTCCCCCACCTCACCGAGTTACCGTTATTCCGTATTTTCAAACCTGACAGGAGGGAGGACGGTTAAACCCCGCGAGGCACAGCGCGTCCCACAGCCCCAGCACGTCGCGGCGGTCAACTGCTACCCCAATAGGACCTGCCCCGCCGCGAGGCCTCCGCCCCACTCCGCGCCGGCGGGGAGCCCCTCACCACCCACCTCCGCCAACGACTAGAGGTACTTCCGCCAACGGCTACGGACACCGCCGCCTCAGAACGGGTGAATCTACCTTAAGATCCCCTGAGGGGGACGGGGGGGAGGTGGGGAGGAGCCGCTGTTTCTTAAGGGCGACGCGTCTCCTGTGCGCGGGGATGAAAAGAGGCGTTCCCGGGGCGTGCCCCTGGGGATCTGAGGGGCTCGGCGGCACGGCACGATACGGCACGGCACGGCACGGCACGGCACGGCACGGCACGGCACGGCACGGCACGCTTCGGCGCGATACCGTACGGTGCGACAGTCCGACGGAGCTCCGGCGGCTCTTGTTCCCGTTGCCATAGAGACAGGTCCCGCCCTTCTGTTCGTGTGGATTGGCCGGGCCAGACCCCCGTCCGGGTGTCGCGGAAAGCTCTGATTGGATAGCACCGGACGCGGAGGCGAGATTGCGCGACAAGCCGCCCCGCCCCTAGCGCCGCTTGCGTCGAGAAGGTACGTGGCGGTCGCCGGGGGGGCGGGCTCCGGCCGCGCGCCTCTGGCGTCACCGGGGAGGTGGGGACGCGGGCGCGCACCTGGGCCGCTCCGGGGCCCCGCTCTTGCTCGGGGAGCGCCCCGGCACGCGCTATTTAGTCTTCCCTAGCCTTGCCTCCATGTTGCGCCAGGCCGCTCTATAACGCGCGTTCCGATTACTGGCCGTTGGTCCTGAGGGGAGCCGCGGCCTGTGGTTGCTGCGGAGGGCCGAGGCTGGGGCGCAGTGTTGTCTACAAACAGCCTCCGGCTCACACACACAGACATCTCCTCCTTCTTTCAGGCATCCTTTTCCAGGACTGGTCCTTCTTTTCTACGCATTTGAGCCTTACTGAGTTCAGATTTGGTTTCCCTTTCCTCTTAGAGGAGAGAAAAATAAAGAAGGGCGGGGGGGATGGGAGGAGAGAGATATCTTGACCTTTATGCAGATTAAACAATTTAGGAAACTGTTTCCAACCTGTGCATTTGTTTATGTTTGGTGTCAGCTTTGGGTTTGATTTGTGGATTTCCAGTGCCACTTTGTTTCAAAGTGCAATACCGGTGGTTTTGGACTAAGATCTTACGTGTGTTCCGGACTTCTGTTAAGCATTGAAAGTGCTCAGTGATTATTCAGCAGTTTATTGGGTAGCTAAACACTAGCTGTAATAGCAAATACACTACAGTTCCTATAAAAATAACTATTTCTGGAGTAAACATAGGTTTCAGTTGTAAAACCTCTTAACATGTTTCAATACTGTGAGCCTGTTGTACTGGTATTTAAACAAAAATATATTGACACATAAATTCATGAAAAACTTTTTTATCATGTGCATTATGTTTCTGTTATTCTGATTTACAAGATAAGTAGCTACAAGTTAACCTTAAGGAACTGTTGCAATCGTTTATACAAATGAGAGGAAAAGAATTATTGAGGGATTTGCACAGTCTAGACAAGATACTCAAAACTGTTGTGAAGTTTTGAATGCTTAATTATAATGAAAATTGGAGTCCAAAGTGGTAGTTGAAATTGTAGCTTCTGGGTTATGTATGTCAAAGAAAAACGGGAATGTAAACTGCCTAATGAAATCTGTGGTAATAGAAAGCTATTAAAGTAATAGGGCTGATGCTTCTTGGAGCTTTCCCTCTCTTGAGATACTTTTCAATGCTATAAAATAATTTTTGTACACTATCTTTGACTTAAAAAACAGAGTTTTGTGGTCAGTATTCTTTACTAGTTTGTAGACTATCATTTTGGGGAGCTGGAAGCACTGGAATTTGCATGTCAGTAATCACAAACAACTTACAGAAAAAAACTTAGGCAACAGTTGAAACCAACATAGAATGATACATAAAATTCAGTTTAAAACATGCCACAAATATGTTCAAAAAGAATCTGTAAGCTTGCAGCTCTGCATTTTATCAGAGTAGGCCATTATTACACTAGGAGAGCCAGCTGGGACCAGACGTTTTGACATGTCAGAGGCTGCACAAGCATGACCCGCTGTAGGCAGGGAGATGGAGCTCTGCCTGTGTGGCAGTGACCCAGCGTGTCCTCACCTACACGTTGTCAGGAGGTGGTTACCTGACAAGGCAGGAAAGAAAACCTCTAGTGCTCTGGGTGGTGTTTGGCCATAACTGACTTAGTTGGCCTTCTGGGGTCATGACCATCCTCACCTTTTGCAGCTTACTTCAGCCTACCTCATGCTGCTCTGCAATACTGTTCTGTGTTCTGTATTTGGCCAGGTGCTTGCAAGGCTGCAGGATAGATAAATTTGCTGCTGGGTATTTGAAAGATAGGCAGTTTGGTTTTTTTTTTCCCCTGCCTTTACCAGCAACAGTGAAGAAGGGGAGCACAGGGGAGAGATGGATTTAAATAAGCATTGACCTCAAGAGAAAAAAGAGCTGCGTGGAGTGGTGCCCTTGATACTGATGGTAGTGTGGGATATCCAATGTTGTTTTCCCCCATCTGGCACAATGTCAAGTTCTTCAACAGCTGATCTAGGAAATACAGAGGTAAAAACGTTACTCCAGCTTCAACATGCAGGAAGTTGCAAGGTTTGAAAACTGCTAAGGATTTCAGTATTGCAACAGAAGCATTTACCTTAATCTGAAATTGAGAAATCGGAGTCTGTTTCTTAATGCTGGGACATAGCATGGCAGAGCAGAAGAAAGACCTGTCTTTGGCTACTGTTTTGTCACATTGTTCCAGTATGGTAGTAAAAATGGGTGGGATTTCACGAGGACTCCTATCTATCAGAGTGCCCTTGATAGTTTTTACTGTTATTTTTATTTTGTGGAAGGTTACTGGTATTAAAATTCCCATCAGTAGAACGAAGAGTTAGGTAGTCAAATGTCTGAAGAAGTAGTCCTAAAACCTGGCTCCTGAGTATCTCTTTTCTGTCTCTCTGCTCTAGGAAACGCAGTGACAGATGCTGCTTTTGCCATTGTCAGCAGCAAACATTTTCATAGAGTAAAAGTGGGTAGAAAGGCCAACTTATTAGCATTAGCTTGTCTTTTAACCACAGAGTAAGCCGGTAACTTCAAGGCTGGTGCTGAAGTACTTCCCCTCACCATCCCAGCTCTGTTCATCAGAAGTGGCAGTAGTGACAGAAGCCATATTATAACTTGTGTTGTTTGACTTAGGAAAAAAAACACCTAGAAATGACAACAGAATTTATTTGCAGTGTTTCTATGGTCATGGCAATGCTGCTATTGAAAAACTCATGCTTAACTAGTGCAATGCTTGGTTTCCTATGACGTGTACAAGTACCTGCTGGCCACAGAGCTGAGGCTGCTAGTCATTTGCTGTGTTTCCAGCAGCAATGAGTTAACAGACATAACCACAGACCTGAAATGAAAATACAATAGTGATTGTAAAGTTGAGTGTCATTAGGGTAACTGCCTAATTTAGCTGGTATGGGAGTGCTGTTGACTTCATATGAAAGTGGCAGACAAGAATGCCATTAATGCACTGGTGAGACTCTGCTGTGGCTTATGTCTGCTTGAGGAGGAGGTTTCAGAGGAGTTGTGTGAGTTTATACTTAGCTTAGTGTATGGCCCAAAAGTTTTCTTTCTCTGGCAGACCTCTGCCTTGAATCTTTCCCCAGTTTGAACAAGTACAGCTCATGTCCTCACAGATTAATACTTTTTTTTTTTTTTTTTAATATCTGAGCAGTCGGAAACCCTGTCTCCAAATGTAGTTATTGGTTCCATGTTCTTATCAGCTATGGCCATATCCTGGCTTTCAGAAGACTATTCTGTACCAGTGTTACGTATTTCATGGGTGTTGTCACCTGTTGTAACAAGGTTAGGTTTTCTCTCAACCAAATTACAGTGAAATTACTTCCTTACACTTAAGCCCTGGTACAAGTATCCTGACAAAAATGGGAGTAGAGGAATTATGCTGAAATTTCAGCAGTTTTTTAAATTGTGTAGTCTGTCTTTTATGCAGTGAAGAACATTTGCCTCCAAGTTTACCATATCTTATTGTTAACTCATACATAGACAGTCTGATTTATTCCTTGTAAGATAAATTTTATGAGGCAAGGTACATATTTCATGTAGAATTGCAGTAACATTGTATATTACTTCTGGCTATTACAAGCCTTTCTAGGAAATTAGAACAAAAAATTTAGAACGAAAGACTTTGTATAGAACTAATCCAAATGTTGCGGTTCAGAGCTGAAAATTGCAGTCACTTCAAGGCTGAGAGGATGGAATATTTCTAACCTATTGTTTCGTAAGCCAAAAGTATGATTTCATTAATAAGTTGCTGTGAATCAAACCATGAATGCTTTTACAGTGTGGCAGCTATTCTATGCTAAACTTGAGACCCCTCACCCCTTAGTAGAAAAAACAAGCAGCAAGATTTTATGGTTTTAGAAACAGTCAACAGCTGAAAGATGGTAGTTTTTTCTTCTTCTTCTTGCAGGTTCCATGCTGTTGTAAGGCCTGCTGCTTGTAGTGGAGAAGATTTTGATAATTTTTGTGGTTATTTAAAGGTTGTTTCCACCCTCTCTCAGTCACAAGCTGGTAAGTACCATCGCCTAGTTAGTTATGCTACTTAGTTTTCTCTCTCCAAATACTATGATTCTATTTCATTTCAGACTGGAACCTGCTTTAACTGAAGGGCAGAGAACCTCTAGGTAGGTTGGATCCCCAGCTTTCAGCATCTGTGCCAGTGCCCCTCCCATGATCTGGGGCACATCTGGCTTCATGACCACAGCCACGGGGTGGGATGTGTGTCTGCAGTTTGGTCCCTTGGTGGATCCACTTCTCGTCAGGTCATGTGATTAATTGGAAGACATAAAGAAATACGGATGATTGTTCTGGTTAGTTATCAGAGATCTTTTATTCCTGTTTTCGTGTTTGTTATCTATTCAATGATATACCACAAGAACCCATTTGTTGCAGTTATGGAGAATTCCATTACACTAGGTAATTTGGAGAGGTAGGGGAAAAAAATCTATTGTCTTCTAGTACTGACTAAAACGTAAATTCTGTAATAAAGGTAAGTTATCAGTGTAACTGCAACTATTTATATTGCAGTAGTAGAAACTCCAAGTCCCTTTTCTGTGATGTGCTGAACAGCTCAAACACAGAACACCAGAGCTCTTTGTCTGTGAAAGTTTGTAAGTCTAAAGCTGTCCTATATTATCTCTCATCTTGTGCCTATCCTTTCTTGGACATGTACCTAGCTGGCTTTCTGCTGCAGATTTCAGAGTGATGTATTAATTTTCAGGCTGATTTTCTAATTTTCAAATAAGAAATGTTTCTTCTCTTTCTGTGTATTGTAAGTGAAAGGAAAAATAAACTGAACTTAGAAAAGGCTGGAAATAAATGCCTCCATAATATATAATTTTATTTACTGAATTTTAATAAGGTGGCCACCCTAGAACAAAAATAATAAATCTTAGTCTGATGAAAGAGGGATCTGTTTCAACTGGATGTATTTTATAAAGGTAAACATGCTTAATTAGCTTCAGCTTTTAAACCCAGCAACTCTCAAACAGAAATTTATCAGCCAGATACTTTATTTGGAAACAAATATTTATGCCTTGGTGTAGCAAAATATTTAATCATATGTTTAGGTCTGTGCCTACTTCCTTTTGAGTATTCATTTACATTTCTGTAAGATTTTGTAATATATATTTTTATAAATGAGACAGCCATTGACTTTGGACTCTAGGTTAGAGATCAGAGATGGGAGGCTTCCTTGAAAATTGCTGTTCTACACTGATTAAAAAAAGTAGACAGTTTTTGTTCTGTAGAGGACATTTACATGCATTTATCAAAGCCTGGTAAAACTGGAGGGTGCTTTAGAATCAAAGAGATAATAAAGAGATGTGTTAGAACTGAGGCAAGACCCATAATATATCCAGAAGGAAAGAACAGAGTAAATTGAAGAAAGACAAAACAAAACAAAAAAACAGTTTCACTGTTTTGAAGGTGTAGAAAAATATGAGTACTGGTACAGGTCATGAGGATAATTTCAGACTTGAAGCAACATGGAAAAGTTGCGAAGCAAGAAGACAGAAGAGGAACACTGTTTTGCTGAAGAAGGAGGTAAGACATGTAAGTTGCTACAAGCTATTTTGGTGCTGTCAACTGAAGAGAGGGTGCCTTGGAAATATAATAATAACAAACAGCAAGAAAAACAGGAAGTAAAAGGTAGGGTACTGTGGTTGCAGTGAAAAGTGTATCACTTGCAGCACTTTTTTAGCTTCTCACTTCCACTAATGGAAATATTTAAAGAAAAAAAAGCTTGTGGTAAGGGCTGTACAGTGCATGTATATTACACAAATCTCACGTGGAACAAGAAGTACCGTAAATGTCTCATTAAAGGAAGATGTAGCTCTTTATTCCTGATGCAGTTTTTATTTGATTTCTCAGGTAAATCAATATTTTATTAGATTTTTTTCAGTCATCTGCAGTTTATATAATGCCACTGTCATCAAAAAGCAGATGAGTAGCATCTGAACATTAGGCAAAGGCTAAGTAACTACCAGATATTTAAAAGACTGTGGTAGTAGTTCTAAACCAATCCTTTCTTTTAAAATTATATTCTGTCATAATTATATGTGTGATTATCACTCAATTACTGTGGTGGAAAAAAGGAGGAGACAACATGGGGAGTTAGGTTTTTTGGTTGGTTTATTATTATTTTTGTATAAATCTTGGACTAACGGGGTAAGTCAGCAATGATGTTTTCAAAGAATGTGTATCAGTCCTCTGTGCTTTGGTGTTAACATAAATGATCCCAAAGGGGGTACAAAATTATGTTTGCTGATGACAGGGAATTACTTCGAGTAATAAAATCAAAAGTTGACCTTTTACTTTAGGTCTGCAGAGTGTCTTATGATATTCAGTAGTTGGGTGATAAAGCAGCAAATGATGTATTAGTAATGTAACCTGATTTGCCTTGAAGAAAAGGTGGTCTTGGTTGTTTTTTTGTTTGGTTGGTTTTGCAGTGTTGTTTTGTTTGCTTGGGTTTGTTTTTTTTTTCATCCAAAATGACAAGCTCTGGACTAGCTCTCTTACTGCTCAGATTGTAGATGTCTAATAAGAAAGTTCTTTGAAAATATGCAATGCTCAGTGGTGGCCAAATGGTAAGTATAGCAAGTATTAGGAATAATGGTATTCCTATGAAAATGATAGCATAAAATAGCATATTACTTCATAAATCCTTTGTACACCTGTATTGTAAATATGATATGCAGGTCTACTCCTGTAATGTAATAACTGGCATGCTGAAGGTAAATAGAAGTGGTCATTTTTCTCATACCAAGGAAAAAGCAATCAAAACGGGGTTTTGATTGCTGAACATTGTTACCTGTCTTTCCTTGGTATTGCATGCTGCAGTTTCTAAACTGTCTTCTGCTCTGTGAATTTATGTCCCTCTTTTTGGATTGTATTGCAAATCAGAGTTAAATTATAAGCTTTTTAACTGCCTTGTGGAGAATGATGAGGTAGGATCTGATGTATCTTTAAGAGATTAAAATTCAGAGCGTGCTTTTCACTTTCCTGTGCATGTTGTGAAAAATACAGTTCTGCTTTTTAGGCTCTGTGGATGAAAAGTGCTATTACCTTGTGTTGTCATGAATTGTATGACCCAAAGGTCTTCTTTTAAGTTTTTAAATTATGGTGCTTAGTTCCTGGTGAAAATTTATTTGTAGGCAAAATAATAATCAGTGCCATTAGCAGAAGTGGTGTTGAAAATACAAAATGTATGGCCAAAGAATTAATGAGTAGTTGTTCTAGCAAGAAAAATATCAAAGGATGGGGTGGAAGCACATGTGAGTGCAAGCTGTATGACCAGGCAAATGTGAGTACATGTGAGCATGGGCATGAGACACAGCAGGAGTCAGTGCATATGAGTAAATGGGTATGTGGGAGGCATGTGAGTGAATATAGAGATGCATCAGTGTACATACATACTGGTGAGTGTACAAGGGAGCGTGCGCATGCACAAGCATGAGTACCCATGCAGGTGAACGTGTGTATAGAATATTTTTGAGGAGGTACAAAAGTGGAGGATTTAAACCAGAATTTATGGGCTTTCATTTTTGTGCTCCACATATTTGAGGAGAGGTGGCTCACTCCCCATTACCCCACCTGTCTGAAGTTTATTCATTTTTTCCTACCACTCTTCCATGGGGAATGTGTTGACAACCAAATTTTTCAGTGAAAGGGCGGCAAGAGCATTTCTGTTCTGGAAGCCATTTCCCCAGCCTTTCTGGACTCTCCACAGCATGAGGCACCCTTTTGTCCACTGTTTCATCTGGTTAAGCTGAAATGAAATATGTGTGTTTGTGGACAAGTGTAGAATAATTCTGACAACATTTATGGTTTTGGAAGTTGAAAATAAAACACAAAAAATATATCTATGTGCTCGTTGGACTGGATGTGTGCTTGTTTCCTCGCATTGAAAAGCGAACAGTATTTAGCAAAAGTGGTGTTGGTGTCCTTGTTGGACCCCAATATTATCTTGTTCCTGAAAAACTTGATGAGGCAATTTGAATGTTAGAAAAATGGGAGGACATGGTTGTAAGTTCTGCTCCATCCTATGTTTGTTTGGACCCTGGCCATCAGGAAACATTTTGTCTATCTCAGAGATGAAACATTTTCTCTTCAGTAGTAATAGTATGAGCAAGATGTGTGAATAATCTGTGGCAAGGGGCAACTTTATTACAGAAAGGAAAGTCTTCCCAACTTTTCCTTTCTTTTATGAAATTTTAAGAAGAGATGTCTACAAAAGATGTGCTGGGGATAATTTGCATGTTTTGTATTGACCTACATAAATCTTAGTTGAACATAAAAGTAATAAGTAATAAGTTGTTTCACTGCGTTTCTGTACTCTTTGTGCATTATCAACCTTTGATTTTTATTTTGTCAGTTCATCTGTTTAATGCTGCAAATATTTTTTTCTCACCTCCAAAAGTATTCATAAAAATAAGGCTGAGAATATTTGAAAGAGTACTGTATGTCATTTTCTTGCTTCTGCTGAGCTGTGTGTCTAGAAAATGGAAATACAAGCTTCTACCTACTCCAGAGGAACAGAAATAAATTATAATGCAAGCTCTTTCAAAAGAAATTACATATCCTGGAGTAGGCAACCTCACAGATCAGTATGACATTTGGTTACATAGCTTGAGCTTTATTTCAAAAGATGGTCTCTATACAGACCTTTGCTTTGGTATCTAACTGGTAATTTTACCTAATGTGTCCAATTTGGATGAGAAGTTATGTGATTGACTTGAATGACTTATGTCACAGGGAGGAAAGTGGTGGAAGGGCAGTTTGAAGCAAAGGGTACAGAAAACCTTGTGGAGAAAGAAAATAAAGATTGCTACATACTCCTGCAACTAACACTTTTAAGAATATGTTTTTGCAGAATCAGGAATGAAATAGTGATATGAACATAAAAGTAATACCTTTAAAATTATTTTGGAAGAGCAACATCAAGTCAATTGTACGAATAAATGGCCATCACACTATAATTACTTAGACACTGTTTCTGCTTACAGGCAGTTTTAACATGAAATATGGTGGTTAGTGTTCATACTTATTCTGTGAAATCGGTAAATATTAAGCCAAGGGTTTCATAGGTTGTGAAGCAAAGAAGTTATTCCATGTTGTGGAGCAACTGCCACACTGAAAATAAAAATGAACAGCTTTGATTGAAAATCTGTTGATACAATTTAGAAGTGGAGACGCTGCTCTTTAAACCAACACCTAAGAGC